TTATTTTTTTAAAAGAAAGACATTAATAATAAATATTTTAATTATTCATATATTATCTATTGTATTTTAAATTAAAAATAATTTTAAAATAAAATATTAGATACATAAATAATAAAAAAATAATATTTTTTTTTTCGTATTTGGATTCATAAATTATTTTAAATATATTTATTTTTATTTTCTCTAGTTGTATAAAAAATATAATAACTCGCGCGTTCATACCGATTTTGGCTTGGTTATCCGTGCCACGGTATTGGTGTGTAACTCGTGCGTTCATACAGATTTTGACCTGACTACCTGTGCGTTCACATGGTACTAATGTGTTACTCGTACGTTCACATGTTACTAATCTGTTACTCGTGCGTCCGCACGGATTCTGGTGCGTTACCTGTGAGTTTGCAAAGATACTTGTGTATTACACACGCTTTTATTTTCAAAATATAATAAAAAATTTAATAAAAAACCAAAATTATTTAACCAAAATTAATTTATTATTTAGCGGTGATATTCTTCTACAAATATGCCAACTATCCTCTCTCTCTGTCTTAGATCTCTTAAATAATAGAGATTGATTATAAAAATGATTAATCATATTGTTCATGACACAATATTATAAGTCAAATTATTTAGAAAGTAGCACAAACAATATGATGCTTTGAAAATATTATTATATAAAAATCAAGACAATATTAATATTATATTTTACCATAATCATAATTAATTAATATACAGAAAGCAATAAAACTATAATTCCACCATAATTAGTGCCACTTAGAATACTGAACCACTTAGAAAACTATAACCGGTTGACTATTTTAAATTAAGAATTATTTAATTTACATAATAATTTAAACTATAGTCGGTTGACTATTTTAAATTAACAATTATTTAATTTACATAATAATTTTATTAATGTTTTGAATGCACACCGCATCACCATCTATATCATTAGAAAGTTAGAAAGAGTCTATACTATCATCCTAAATAAAAGTTGTTGTACCCCAAAATTTGCCCTCTCTTTCTTCAGGAAATCATCTTGGATTCTCATAGTCCCTCTGAAACAAATCCAAGTCCTGAATTGTCATTTTTGCCCAAGCAAACCATTTACAAGAGCAAATGATCACACCAGCTCTAAAGACAACGCTTTTATCTTGAGAAAAGTTAAATTCTAAACATTTGGAATTTTTCTCTAAAAATGGGTGCTTAAGAAGAAATTGGCGCTTCAGAACTTCTAGACCAAACTCCAGATAGAAACAGTCAGAAGTTGCAAGCTTGGCTCAACACAGTCAGAAGTTGGCTCTTCAGCAGCTACATCAACTCAGTCAGAAGTTGCAAACGTGGTTCAAAATGTAAGCCTCAGACATAACATGACTCTTTCAGCAGTTACGCAAGTTCAGCCAGAGTTTGCTAAAGGAATGCAAAAGAAGCAAGGAAGTCTGAAGGCTCCTTCAGAACATGCTGAAATCAGAAGATGAAAAGGTCAGAAGAGTAGGTGTTACACTGATACATAATCTCTAAGTCCAGGATTTCCAGAAGCAAATCCAAGGAACGTGTCAGAAAGTCAGGTGAATCCCCAGAATTTGCTAAGACAACAGGAGGCCAAGACTAGAATGTTGGTTCAAGTTTTTGGTAGAGCAGAACTGCTGGTTCAAGTTTTTCTCCTATTACCAGAATGTTGGTGTTGATAAGTCTCATCATTATTTAATGCTCATTAATGCTCCCAACCACTCCTGAATATTCATCCAAGTAGTCCCTTCACGTGTGGCTTGGTAAACGCCTTTATGCAGGTTCAAGCATGGGTCTACGCGCCACCGTCCACCTAAGAGGTTACTTCTCCCCAATCCATGCCTGCTGTTCCAGCCTAGGCTGAAAGGCTATTTGTTATCACAACTTCCCAGGAATTTCTTTCAAAGAACAATTCAACCTCTGTTGGCGCCTTTAATGTTCAAGAAATCCACAAGAGCTTTGCCTATAAATAGAGAACCATTGTCCACTGAAAAGCGCATCCAAAAAACAGAAAAATTGCTAGAAGAGAAACAGAAATCTTTAGCAAGAAAGTGCTGTGAAACTCTGCCAAAATCTCCAGTGCTTCATAACTTTGAATTTCTTACCTTCAAACTTCATCAATACCCAGTTTTCTTTGTGACTAAAGAACACCCTTTCAACTTCTGACCATATATACGCATACACCTTCATCTGCCCTTTTCAAAAAAAACCTGTCCAGAACACCATCAGAGTCAAAAGCTAGCTCTCATCCAAAAACTTTTCCAACAGCCAGGTAAGCACCTGCTGACCTTCACCACGCTGCTAAGCATCATCAGCTTTGCATGCTCAAATGAACATAATGTAAATATCATGTTGTTGCTGTTTGTGTTCTGAGGATTTTCATACCTCAGAACATTTTGAGTCCGCCTAGAACCTGCCTGTGACCTTGTTGGTTCTGAAATACTTTGACATTTGCTGGAGCTGTTCCAAACATGTTTTCTGTTTTGTGGAAAAATAACAAAATTGCAGATGTTCTGATTAACACAGGGAGAAGCCAAGTGTTGACTTTGACGTTAGCACATCTGAAGCCTGTTTTGCTGTCAATAATATCAGAACTTCTGATAATTATTGTATTTCTAGCAGGATCAGAACTTCTGATTTCCCCACTAACAAACTTTTGTCTTGCAGCGCAGGGGGGTCAGAACTTCTGATCTTCCCACTAACAGGTTTATGTTTTGCAGGTGCCAGAGTCAGAAGTTCTGACTCATACAGTTTAACCAAAAGGTTGATCATCTGGCAGCGGGCCCGAGTCAGAACTTCTGATGACCTCTCAGCAGCGCGCTGGCTCCCTCTCTCTTTCTCTCTATCTTGTTTTTGTTATTTTATTTTCTTATCTATTTTTCTCGTTGAACCACCCCATGTACAAATGTGTATCCCCACTCCCTAATTGTTGTAATAGCGTAGGATTTTATGTTTCTGCTTTTTATTGCTAGTAATTAGGGTGTGTATGGCAAGATAAAATCAATGAAATAGAAAATCCTAATTCAAAGATAAACTCTTGTATGCAATAAAACACACTTGCACACTAACACCCCTAGGGTTACATCCACTTGTTGCCTTCAAAAATGGGCCATGTTACGCATGCAAAGTATCTTGGTAAAACAAACAAAATCAAAAGATCATAGTCCCTCGATGACGCTATCCAAAGTTGCCTTACAAAAATGATCTTAGTCCCTCAAAAGAAATACTAAGATACTTTGTAAAATTACTATCATGGTCTATACGATGACCCGCGCCCGTCTCGTTTACATCCTAACACAAGGTTGTTCACCAAATACAATGGTGAAACAACACTGTTAAAAGGGTTAAAAAACATAAGAAAGATCTTTGAGTCAAATAGGGTAGACAACTCTTAGTTACTTGATTAAAAATCTTGCAAAACATCCTTGCTATTTTTCAAAACACCATTTCAAAACAACTTTCAAAATATCGAAAACCTTTCAAAAAGACAAACACCTTTGTATACATTCAAACAAGAATCATTACAAAGGTTGCCACAACGATGGCCTCTTTTTTCAAAACACATTTCAAAACCACACACAAAGCACCATTTCAAACAATTAAAAATGCAAAGCAAGTAACTAAGAGCCCATGGATAACCATGGATAGAAAGGGTGCTAATACCTTCCCTTTCTATAATCTACTCCCCGAATCCAAGAAAACATCTCAGAAGGTTTTTCCTGTGCTTTTTAAACCTTTCCTTTAGGATAAAATAAAAAGTCGGTGGCGCCTCTTGCTCAACCGAAACATTTGCGAATACAAACGCAAAAACTCAAGTCAGTTCTCCCACCGTATCACAAAAGCCACACCACATCACCAACTATACCATAACAATCGAGAATCATGCTTAAAAAAATAGAAATACCTTATTTGTTGAGATACATTTAAAAACCCAACTATATTTGATACCATGACAATAAATAAATCATAAATAAAATTGATACATTAAAAATGATAATCAAAATTGTTCTAACACAATGTGTACATTAATGAAGAGAGTGTGTGCAAATTACAATCTTACTTTTAACATATCTAAAATTCCAAACCAAATAGTCATAAACACAATTAATGTGTTTGTATTTTAATTTATACATTAAATATGAAACATGAGTAGTGTCCTTGTCGAACAAGTCCAAAATATGAAAGCTTTTTATTGAAATCAGCATCCATTAAGATGTTGAATGTTTAAAAATCTCGAAATATTAGCTGCATCAGATATAATGGGAATCAGTATTTTATTACTATCAAAATCGTTTAGAGATATTAGCTGGCGAGAGAGGTCGGATAAAAAAGACATCCAAAGCAGAAACCATGATTATATAGAATGAACAATGTAAGATGTAACAAAAATGCAATTCAATTTGATGTATGCTTGATGATAGATTCAATTATATGCTCTAGTCACATGTATGGTATTCATATTTATCTAAGTGTTTTATAACACATATCAAACAAACACATTAACTCATGTGATATGATCACATCAATGTACCCGGTTCCATCTTCTATCTAGCAAACTTTCGTTAAATATGAACAAAAACAAAATCAATGACACATGCAAAACCAAATTATATCATAAAACAAAATATCCATATTCTTCATATCACTTCTAAATCTAATTCAACATCAATTTTTCAAATGAGCAACAAAATTGAAAAAAAAACCTAACACCGCAATCAAAATCAGCTCCACAATAGAATTACAGCACAACAATTAATAACACTATAAATTATCTCATCGATATCTTGATGAACCGCATGCAGCTGTGGCAACCCAGCTGAAATCCCTTGGATTGTAACTTGTCCATTTCTCTTCTCCTCTTCAGACATCACCGTGACATCCGGCAGCGACGAAGAGCCTCGTTGTAGATATCCATTCACCTTCCTCCTTACTCATTTGCTGCCACGGTTAGGCAAATCATCGGCGGATTAAATTATATGTCTAGATATTGAGTGCTATTGAGGAATAGGAACTCTTATCAAAGTTCCAAATCCAAGCTTTAGTTTGATGTTTTCTTCTGCTAAGAATAAAAGTTAGAAGAAATCACATAAGTAACATAAATTTACATTGAAAACGAAAATGAATAACAATGTTTTGCTTGCCTATTAAGGAAGCGCATTCTTCAGGGATATCCACTCGACATGGAACCTGGAAATTAATGCCATGATCAAACAAAAATTGTCAGTTAAACTTGTTTCTTAGTACATCATGTAGTCATACTGCTTACATTCCAATTGCACATGCCAAATTTAAAATGTGAAGCCGCTTGATGCTGTGAAAAAGGAAAAAAACTCGTTGGTATTGTAAGAAGCTACACAAACTCCTTGTGTTTCTTATTCAAGATAAAAACAGGAATGTAAGCTTGATCCATAAAGCATGCAGAATTACTTCAGTAATATTATCACATAAGTAATTTCATACCAGATATTCAAGTGTCCTAGGAATATCCAATTTTGAAAGCAAGAATGGAGGACAGTAGGATATACCGTGTACAAAGGTGCTATTACTAATACCTGAAACATGCACAGACAACAACCAACCATTATAAATATGTTCAATTTCAGCAAACTATCAAGAGAAGTCCTAGAGCTTGGTTTAGTAGAGTCAATTATGATCTTCAAGATTTTGGCATTATGGTTTACAAAACCCAATCTTGCTAATCTAAAGTCTGGAAGCTTTGCATTCCACTACTCATCTAGAAGAATATTTGAAGATTTGAAATCTCTGAAAATTATCTAATATCCCTCACAAACAGTTAGTCTAATTGATGTTATTCCTCCTATCAAAACTACAATGGAAGATCATCCTCCAAACAATGTCATTATATTCGGAAAGAATGGCAACATAGCTGCAAAAAGTGTGGTTTCTGCTACTGATATTGACCTTTACAATACCCTCGATACAACATTCCGCATCAAAAACTGTCATTTTTTCGGATCTCCAAAAAATCGTCTCAAATAGTTCATTTTTCATTTGCAAATATACTTGTAACATAACCAAGTTATAATTATTATTCATCAGAATTATACAAGAACAGACAAAAGAACATTGATTTGCGCTAATTAAGCTTTTGGTTTTTTTATTATACTTTTACTCACATTTTTCCTCTAACTAATTTCTTTTAAATTTTTTGCATTAAAGAACTAAGATAAATTATTTTTTCTAACTAATAGTAATAAGTATTATGAATCATTATTGTATTTCGGTATATATCCCTTTTGCATGGTCTTCTTTTGTATTATTTTCTTCTTAATTACTATTTACTATTTAATCTCAGACTCAACAGTACTCTTTAATGGGAAGGTAAGGTTAGTCTAACGTCATGAGCATCTTATGTTGAATCTTTCTAGGCACTGTTTGGGTAAAAGGCTTATTGGAATGCTTATATCATAAACACTTATCGTAATTAAGTGTTAACGGAAAAGTTATTTTATTTCTATAACAAATGATAAAATACAATTAAATTGTTTTCACATAATAAGTTGTAAGTTATCTTGGAAAGGGGAAAATTGATCTAATGTGATTTTAACATGAAAGCAATAGAGAAGCAGGCTACTTACAGAAAATTGATCTAATGTAAAAGGGAAAATTGGCAGCATGTATATGACTTGGCAACATAAGCAGCAAATGTAAAGGAACTGATAAGAGCTCCATTACCTTATTACCAACACAAAATGCAACAAGAATGTAAATATTTCTAACTGCATCTTCAAGAACTAAAGATACTTTTCAGTGTATTTCGTGTATGTCGCTTGAAAAACCAAGAAGCCACAATTTCTACAAGGTTCAAATAAACTGCCATAAATTCAAATGATAAAACCAAGTTAATAAATTATGTATGTTGAAAGGTGAAAACTGAATGGGATCTTTACTCGCATTCACGCTGCAGAACCCAACTGTTTTAAACACAAGGTATATATCACTTGGAACTCATAAGAGTAAAACCCAAAACTGAAACCATGTATACAAACACATAACTAACTTATGAGATTTAAATGAAACCCTAATAAACCATAAATCTAATAACTTTATTTCAAAAGCCCTAAATCTCAAAAACTAGATTAAAATGAAAACATCAAATAAACCAAAAGAAATATAAAAAACAACAACCATTTATGTTTCTTTCCAAACTCACCCCTTATTTTTTTTACAGTTGGTTCTTTTGATTTATATTTATTCCTACAAGATTTTACAAGATAAACAAAATTAGAAAACATACATCCATTATTTGATGTTAAATTTAACAAATTAAGAGAAATTTTTACCTGTCAGGTTTCTACCATTCAATAGTTTATTCAATAAATCTGAAAAATAGATCAAATCAAAAAGAGATGTGAGATTTAGTATAACACCAGATGAACAATCAGAAGGGGCAAGTAAGTACTACAACACATAGACTAATCTGCATAATTTCTAGGTTATTCCAAGGCCCTTTATCGGATTTGAGGCAACCTCTGCGTAGATGAAAAAAAAACAGTGAAAAGACGAAATACACAATTTTATTATGTTAATAGGAATGTAAAAGGGTCGGAGAAGGAGAAATGGTGTTTGTTCTTACAGAATCAGTCGAAGATGGAGAAACGAAGGTCTGCGACAAATTTCTTGTCATGATTGTTCAAGAATTCTTTCCAGCCTCCCAGTTTACCCTTCATGCATTTTTGTTGTACCAATTTTACAATAACAACCAACACCCGCGCGCACATGAAGTAATGAACTCGCTGGATTGTTTCCTTGTCCATATATTAAATATCACCCCTCAAATGAACTCGGAAGCCATTGAAATTAGACAGTGAAGAATGAAAGGGAAATTGAAAGATAAATGGAAAGTGAAATTGAATTATTGTAATTTGATAGTTGAATGGACAACCGTTTTGTAATAGGATTATTGCAAACGGTTACAAATTCGATCATGAATAAGAAGTGGAGGGGGAGGTTACACAACTGCAGAAGCCCCTTCAAAAAGCAACCATCCAATCCTATCACATGTCTACATAATTTGAAACTATCCTTGCACCCTTCGTAGCATATGTAAATCTTTTTAAAAATGGTTTCTGATCATCAGCAGCTTCTGAAGAAGGTTCAACATTCATCTTAACTGTTGACCCTGGATTGGCTCTTAGCAGTTCATGACAATAGTCATATATCCTAGTGTAATCACCCAAAAAGAAACCATCAACCCTATTCCTTGCAGCCACTCTTGCTCTTATTTCTTTAGTCTTGTTTACACCTACATTCCACTTCCTCAGTGTCTTTTCTTTAATGTCCTGGACCTTCAACCTAGGGTTGTTTTTCAAAGCATTTTGAATCCTCTTGCTCAACCACTTTGTGCTTAACATCCTCACATTATACTCCCTACTACAGTTATGATTATCAATTACTTTCCTTATTTTCCAAGTTTCCTCATTTAATAACTTGGCAAAATAAACCTCTCACTCACAACCTTCCTTACATCTCACCCTCACCCTTTTCTTATCATTTTTTATGGTCTTGAGGGCTCTTCCATTTTGAACAACATATGAGGCAATTCTTTCCTTAATGTCATCCTTTGAAGTAAAATACATTCCTAATTCCCATTTGTAATTGGCCATATCTTTTATCTCTTTGAAAATTGGGTATTTCTTCCTTTTAACCCCACTACTGTCATTACTGTCACCATCACTTTGAAGATCATCACTGTCATTGTCACTCCCCTTATATTCCTATGTATCTTTGATTTTCCTTTTGATATTTCATTATTGTCATACACAGTCAGGTCTGCAATTTCATTTTCATCAATGTCTTCATAACCACCAGATTCATTGTCAAAGGCTACTTCTAGGGCACTATCATACTGGTAACTTTCATCCTCACTGTCATCAGAATTGGATTCATCGTGCACCTGACCATCAATATTTGGCTCCACTTCAACATTTGTTGCCTACACCCCTACATTTGCATCATTCAATCCAGCATTACTTTGTTCCATAACAACATTTGGATCATTCAATCCTTCATTATCTTCATCCACACCAACAATAGACTCCTTTAACTTTCCTTTGATGTCATCATGCAGCTTGCTAAGCAACTCCTCCATCTCATCTACAATGTTCTCAGGCTCCTCAACAGGACCATCACAATACTCAGGTTGAGACAAACTGTGTTGAATGTAAACATGAACAATATGGTGCACCCTATATAGGTCTGCAATTTCTAGAGCACCTTTGTCATTGACTAGTTTATTCATCCCAAATTGTAGGTCTTTGTAATACATTTTTTATACATTGTCCGTATAACCTAAGTCTTTCAATACACCAATTAACTCGAAGTAACTTCACCTATCAACATTTACTGACAATTCAGATACATGCCTCCTTCATAGACACTAAGCTTTGTGTGATACGGTGGGAGAACTGACTTGGGATTTGCGTTTGTTTTCGCACTTGTTCGGTTTAGCAAGAGCCGCCACCGACTTTTTATTTTATCCTAAGGAAAGGTCAAAAAGCACAGGAAAGACCTTTGAGATGTTTTCGTGGGTTCGGGGGGTAGATTATGAAAAGGGAAGGTGCCAACACCCTTTTCATCCATGGTTATCCATGGGCTCTTAGTTACTTGTTTTAGATCACTTGCCTTTGCTTTTCAATTGTTTGAAATGGTGCTTTGTATGTGTGGTTTTGAAGATGTTTTGAAAAAGATGGCTTGTCTAGGCAACCTTTGTAATGATTCTTGCTTGAATATATACAAAGGTGTGTGTCTTTTTGAAAAGATAATTCAATGTTTTTGAAAGTTGTTTTGAAGTTGTTTTTTGAAGTTGTGTTGTGAAGTGTGTTTGAAAAATGGCAAGGATGTTTTGCAAGATTTTTGATCAAGTAACTAAGAGTTGTCTACCCTATTTTACTCAAAGATTTTTCTTATGTTTTTAACCCTTTTAACAGTGTTGTTTCACCATTGTGTTTGATGAACAACCCTGCGTTAGGATGTTTAAACGGGACAGGCGCGGGTCATCGTATACAATCATTGAAGGCAACTTGTGAGACGCTCTAGCAATTTTTGTAAGGGACAAGATCGTTTTATCGAAGGCAACATCGAGGGACTACGATCTTTGTTTATCGAAAGGACATTTGCTAGAGTGTCTCATACTCGAGGGACATGATTGCATTTTCCGAGGCAACAAGCGAGACTACCCTAGAGGTGCAAGTGTGAATTGTGTATTGATGTTCATGCATTTATCTTGTATTAGGTTATCTAGCGGTTGATTTTGAATCTTCGCATACAAACCCTAATTACTATACATTATATGGAAAACGATAAATTGCGGGAATTTAAAGTCTAAGTTATTACAGATAAGTATCTGGGGATGGGGGTACAAATGTTTACAAATGGGGATGAGTCTTATCAGAATAGTAATGTCCAAATATTATGTTACAACCAAATCGAAACGTCGCATTCTCAATGTAAAAATATAACAAGGTATAAGAATCAAAGAGAATCAAAAGTATTGTGAGATGTATGTGGTTATTTACAAATGATTAAATAAAATATTAACCTAATGAAAATTAAGCGTTTATTATTATTTTTGTATTTTTGTTAGTTTTATATAAACAAAGGGTTTTAAAGACAGAATTATTTAATTTAATAAATTCTAATATTTATGTATTTTTGTTAATGTTTTTTAAAAACTTATATAAAAAGTTTAATTAAACAAAAAGTTTTAAAACAAAAACAAATTATTAAAATCTATTATTTATATACCTTTAAATGCAATAAATATTAAAAAGGTTATTAAGAATATTTTATACAAAAAATTAATATGTTATTTTTTATTTAACAACGAGAATTAGGAATTAAGTTATATAAAAAAAAGAAAATAAGGTGATAAAAATACAAATGACTTTAAAATAAAAAAAGAAAAGACAAAATGGGCTTTTGAGTTTGTACTTTGGTCCAAATAAAAAAAGAGAGGCAGCATTGGGCTAAAGAGGGGGTGCAGCGCTGAAAACCATTGGGCTTTAGTGTTTGGTTTATGGGGCAGGCCCAAGCGCAATGTTCAAGTTTTTGTTAGGGTTTGGCTTACGTTTTCAGAGATAGGCTTGCAGTTTGAATGACGCCGCTCTCCTCTTGTCTTCGTCCTCTTCATCATTCTCAAACACCAAGAGCAAACGATTATCCGCTCCCATCGCCTTAGGCTACCAGAGTGATACCTCTGCCTCCTCCTCTCCTTGACTTGTACAAGGCGGCGAAAAAAAAGGTATCGTTTTCCTTTGTAAACGCATTTTAGAGTTTATGTTTGTGCATGCTTAATCTTTGCATGTTTTGATTGTTTCACAGTGTTTTAATCATGGATTGTTTATGTTTGTGTGAGGTGCAAAACAGAAAGAGGGAAATTGATACCTTGGGGTTTTGTTTCTGGAGAGGAGACGGAAGGTTGGACGGTGGCGCTCTCAGGTGGCCGGAGGAAGGAGAACTGTGATGACACTGCTTGCTTTCTGGTATTTTGTATCTTTCTCTTCGTTTTGTGATGAACCCTAATTCTGAAAACACTTGTTCATTCGTTTCTGACTCTCTTCCTCTCTTGGGCTTTGTTGATTCTGATGATGATGAACTTTGAAATTTGTTTGTTGCTAGCTTTTACAATCTTCCTCTTTCCTTTTATCAATGATGATATTCTTCTGAGATGT